TCTTCTTAATAATGTGTTCTTTTTTCTAACTTACTTAATTATTAGAATATAGCATATGATATATATTTAAATATGTGTTATTTGATTGTTTATATTATTAGTTAAGTCTTCCGGACAATAGTAGGCTATTAGTAGTTAAGTTTTGGGGGGGTCAAAATTATACACAGCTTTTTTTTTTTTTGAAGAATTTACTTATTTATTTTAGAGAGGCAGGGAGAGGGAGAGAGAGAGAGAGAATCCCAAGCAAACTCTGTACTGAGCAGAGCCCGATGAGGGGCTTGATCTCACGACCCTGAGATTATGATCTGAGCTGAAATCAAGAGTCAGACACTTAACCAACTGAGCCACCCAGATGTCCCTATACACAGATTTTTGACTGCATGGGGGGTTGGTGCCCCTGACCCTGTGTTGTTCAAGGGTCAACTATGTGTGTATGTGTGTGTGTGTTTTTTTATATATGAAAGAAAAAAGAAAGAAAAGCATTGTAACTTTCAGCACAATGTCTGGCATGTAGTAAGTCCATTTCTTAGTGAGAAGCAGATTATTACGGTTGTTTTTTGGTGCCTTTTCTTAGTAATCAGTGAGCTCCTAGAAGGGGAGGACTGTATTTTCTTCAGCTTTGAATGCAGATCACCCCGCACATGCCTGATAGTAGCAGGTGTTCAGAAGTATCAGTTGGTGAGGAATAAATGCAGAGGCACCTTTCAGGCTGTGCTGTGCAGAGGTGGGGGGGTCACTTCCTGGCCCACCTGCTCCAAGGACCGTGGGGTGCACAATGGCTGGTGAAGGATTAAACAGCAAACTTTCAGTCTAGGAGAGCCTCTTAACCCCAAATTTTATGTTTCCTGAGAGCCCATATCGTTCTGGGCAAAATCGGGAAGGGGACAGTAGTCCCAAAAGATGACCAGCCAGCCCCAGTGCTTATTGGGGTTCTTATTGTTCCTCCACTCTCATCATTATCCTAGAATTTTCTCTGCACTGCCTTTCCCCTAAGAAGCCACTGAAAAGGAAGGAGAGAGGAGGATGGAGAAGAAGAGGGCCACCATCCAGCTACATCAGAGGTCTCCCTGAGGTTTCCTTTTACCATTTTGGAGTCTGGACTCCAAGGTGCCCAGACTCTTCTGATCTCTTCAGAAAATCAAATGAATGGATGCTAGAGTATTATCTAGGCCCCAGCAAGGCCAGTATGGTCTCAGCATTATTCCACATTCTGGACCATTCTCAGTTCCCTCCCTTAGTTCTCCTCTCTCCCCTCCCTCTAAACATCTGTCTCTTTTCTCTCATTCCCTTAGGCCAACACTACTTGCTGGGTCCCAGCTCACAGCTAAGGAAACCAAGGGATCTGTTCTCATCTTAGCAGGTGCCATCTTAGGACTTGTATGTGGGGGTGAGGTATGGGAGGAGGCATTTATTCAAGATCACCTTTTTTTTCTGATGAGTATTCACTTAAAAAGTGGGGAAATAAAAATATATGAGAGTAATAAAAAAAAAAACCCTGTAATTCCATCATTAAGAAATAACCACTGGTAACATTTTTGGTCTATTTTCTTTAAGCCTTTTTCTATGCTTGTCCCCTACTCTTATCTGGAACCACACTGTATATATCATTCTGAGTCCTATGTTTTCCCACTTAACATTATATTTTAAATGTTTTCTCACATCATGTAATATCCTTTAAAATGTTACTTCTATTTAGAATGAGTCTATTGGATGAATGTTCCATAATTTATTTAATTAACCCCCTATTGTGGGATATTTAGCTTGTTTCCAACTTCTCACTATTGAAAATGACTCCGTGATAAATGCTTTTGTACATATATTTTTGTTTACATCTTTGGTTATTGCCTTAGGATGGGTCCCTAGTTGTGAAATTACAGAGACCTAGTGTGTGAGCATTTTTAAGACTTTGATATATATTAACCAAATTACTCTCCAGAAAAACTGTAGCGATTTATATTCCCACCAGCACTGGAAGTGCTTATTTTTTTTACTTCCTATTGTTCTCAAGTGAATGATCTTTGCAAAACTGATGGATGAGATATGACATCTTACTTTCCTTTGCATTTCTTTGGTTGCTAGTGATATTGAAGTTGGTGGTGTTGGTGGTAGTTTATTGGCCATTTGTATTTCTTTTGCTAATTGCCTGTTCATGTCCCTTGCCCATTTTTCTATTGAGATCGTTATCTCTTAAAATTGCCTTATAAACCTTCTTTGGCACATTTACTGCAAGTCCTCCCCCCACCCCAGTTTGGCAAATTCTTTTTTAGTTTTGTTTTTGATGTTTCAGTTTGCCACACAGAAGTTTACATTTTTTATGTAGTCAGGCTGAATATTTATCATTAAGACTGATTTATTCACTTTTATGATAAAAAAAAATCCCTTGTTATTCGAAATAATTACATTCCCCCCCTATTTTCTTATAACATTTTCTTAGCTTTTTAATGCATCTGGAAGTCACTTTTGAATAGGGTAGGTAAGGAGCCTTTCTTTTTATTTCTTTCTCTTTCATGCTCTCTCCCTTATATTCTTTTTTTTAAAGATTTATTTATTTGAGAGAGAGAGTGTGTGTGTGTGTGTGTGTGAGCATGAGGGGAGGTGCAGAGGGAGAGACAGAGAAAGAGAATCTCAAGCAGACTCCCCACTGAGCAGGGAGCCTGACACGGGTCGTGATCCCAGAACTCTGAGATCATGACCTGAGCCAAAATCAAGAGTCAGATGCTTAACTGACTGAGCCACCCAGGTGCCCCCTCCCTTGTATTCTTAATAAACAGTGTCACACAGCACTGCTTATTTATTGCGTATGCTTTCCTTTCTTTTGAGTTGTGATGCCGTCTTTATTGTATACCAAATTCTCATTAAGTTGCTTCTCTTTCTGAGCTCTAGTCTGTTCCACTGATCTATTAATTATTATGTCAAGACCACACTATTCTAATTATTCACAGTACATTTTAATATCTTCTAGGGCAAGCCCCAGCTCATTACTTGTCTCATCCTTAAGATATTTTAACCCACAGGATTGGTAGGTTAGGGTGAGGAGGCAGATTTTACACAACAGGGGAGATGGGTGGGGTCTGAAGCTCTTGAAATCACAAATAGGATCACCCCCACCTCCACCACCCACATTCAGAAGGATTCTGGAGCCATGCGTGAGGCTCTGGGGAGTTCTGTCTGGCCCTTCTATGGAGAAAGAATGAATGAATCCAAAAGTTTGAGATCTTTGCCCATTGGCTTTTGGTTTCCTGCCAGCCAGTGAGGCTGCTTTGGATGAGGCACAAAACCCTCCCAGAGTTGAGCTCCTGGCCACGTTGTTCCTGGGCCTCCCCACCTGCCCCAGGGGTGGGGTCTGGGCTGCTGTGGCACTCAGGGCAGGGCTGAGCTCTCTCTGGGCTCTGCTGGGACTGCTCCTCTGGTCTCCCTGCCCCAGTCTGGAAAGTCAGTGGTGTGCCTGGAACTCCTCCTGGCCTGTGGGCCCAGGGCCTCATCTGATTACCTGGCTGGGATTCAGCAGGTGTTTTTAAAGAAGTGTTACTCATAGCAGTTCTATCTAGCCCTCATTTGGGGGAATTTTAAAAACAAAATCCCAATTAAGCACCTTCATGCTTTTAATGAGCAGAGGCCCCAGTGTCCACACAGGTTCTCCCTGCTGTAAAGCAGGTGCTCTCATTGTGTCCCAAGAGTGGCAGGCAAGAGCCTCCCTCATATGTGACAGCAGGGAGCAAATTCAGTCATCTTGCTCCAGAAACACTGGTTTTGCTGGTGCACCATGAGGGTTGGACTTTGGATGGCCTGGGGAGGATGCGGAAGCCACAGCATTTTAACACTTGTGTGAGTGACATGGAGTCAGGACAACTGACCAGGGCTCGCCCCTCCCCCATCAGGTGGATCCTTCCCATTAGCATTCATAAATGTCCATTTCCTTGTCTAAAAACAACAAGAGCAATAACTTTGCTACACTCCACCTTACGGTGACTAGCAGTCTGGATTTCCCCAGGACTAAGTGGATTCCCAGCATGGAGGACTTTTAGTGACAACACTAGGGGAGTCCTGGGCGAGCTGGGATGAGTCCCTGCTCCACACCCTGCTCTGTCTTCCTCCTCTCCTTCCCAGCTGGTTTCTATCTTCCCTTCCTCACTTCCTGCTCACTCTGCAACCACTCCATCCTGGTTTTCTCCCCAACCATTGGCGACTCTTGCTAAGGTCCCCTGTGACCCTTGTGTTGCCTCCATTCTCAGCCCTCCTGACCCCCAGCAGCACTTGACATGGCTATCTGGACTCCCGGGGAGCGCGGTCTGCATAGGCCCTGTGCTTCCACTCTTGAGTCATGGCTCCTCCTGTCCCTGCTCCGTCTTCTTCAAGCTCCAGAGCTGGCGTGACCTGGAAAGACCGTAGTCCCACCCAGCCCAGTCCTGGCCTCCTCCCTTATCCCCCTGCTCTCTGTGAGGATCTCACCCCTGCCTGCAGCCCCACATGCCTGCCATCATTGGCTCTGGCTGCCCAGAGGTCTCCATGTAGCCCCGGTCTCTCTTCTGAGCTCCAAGTTCATATCTCAAATGCCTCCTACTTAGCTTGTCCAAAATTCAGCTCTCGATCTTCCTCACCGATCTGCTCCTCCTCTAGTTGAGCCCACCTCAGTAGATGGCGTGACTGTGCACCCACCCACTCATCCTTGGCGCCTCCCCTTCCTCACCTCCTGTACGTAGTTTATCTGAAGCGGCCTCTGTCACATGCTTTCAGCCTGTCTGCTTCTCTTTATGTCCACACTAGCACTACCCAAGCACCCCGGTCCCTGCGACAGAATGTGTAAACTAGGGCTCTCGGTGCCCTCTCCTGCCCCCACACCCCCGTGGCTTCCTCCATAAAGCTGACAGAGTGATCCTTAAAAATGCAAATTTGCTTCCTTCTGCTTGAAATCAGCCCTTGGTGTCATGAAATCTTGATGTCATTGGCATTGACCTTCCAGCCTCACCCAGCCCCACTCTCCGCCTTGCTCACAGCTTCAGCCACCCTCGGTTGAGCCTCTTTGCCCAGATTGTGCTCCACACCTGGAACACCCTCCTCCCTGTCCCACCCCCCCTCCCACCCTTTCCACTTCTTCTCTGCCTCTCCTCTAAATCTTAGATGCCACCTCATTGCTAATGTGGGCCCCCATTCCACCCCCATGTGCTCATAACAGTGTGCACACACTCTTCCATCACGGTACTTACCTGAACAGTGAGTGTGGGTTAATTACGTAACAACCTGCTTAATGCCTATCCATGCCGGGAGAATGCATGGGGGTAGGGGTCCTCACAGTACCCCTCATCCTTAACACCGGGGCTGGCATTTAGAGGCCCTTGATAAACACTTGCTGAATGAATGGAACTGGATAGGGAGGATGAGTTGAGGTTGGGGGCAAAGGGAAAAATCTGACTCCCCCTCACCGCTGTCTGACCCCAAACCAAGAATACCGCATAAGAAGCTGATGACTCAGATGCTTCCTAATGCCTCATTTTCTGTGGGAACCTGTGTTGCCGGCCTCCTCAGGTGATATGATCTTGGAAACGGTCTCTATATACCTTGTAAGGTCAGTGTGTGAGTCTCCCACGATCCCTATGGGATGTTCTGTTACTGCACACATGGAGAAGTACCAAATGGGATTCCCCAGTGCAGGTGTCTGCTCCTTTAAGATCTACACCAGTAACTTTCCAGAGCCAGAGTGACAGTTCTTTCAAGCTGGCTTTGAAAGTATCTGAATAGAAATACCCCTCAGTTGTCTTATGCTAAAATGTAAAATTTACAATATATTTTTCTCATCAAGCAATATTTAATGCTATTCAAATATACTAAACTCAAGATATTTTATGATTTTAGGAGCACCACGGATTTTTTTGTTGGGATATAATTGACATAGAACATTATGTTAGTTTCAAGTTTAATGAATTTAATATTTGGCTAGGAATGTGGTTTTCATAATGCTTTAAGAGAGCTGCACATCTCTCTTTCAGCATCACCCGGACATGACACAGTTTTACCTCCCTTCCTAATTAGCTTATAGAGAGAGATTTGCTTCAAGTTATGCACTCATGTAATAAAGGTCCTTGTTGCCATATTTAGAAGACTGTGTCCAACATAAATTCCACTCCCAAATCTCTTTCTTATAATGAACCTCCATCAACATAATGAGTTCCTTGGAAGGAAGACATTGTGTAAATTAAAAATACTAATGAGTCATTATGATAATGAATTATTTTCCCTATTACTGGGAGCAGGACTAACCTTGGGCACATTTTCCAGCAGCTGAAGGTGCCTTCCCTAGACCTAGGGTTGCCCTCCTCTGGGACCCCGTTCTCTAAAATTTCTCCTTCTTCTTCTTCTTCTTCTTCTTCTTCTTCTTCTTCTTCTTCTTCTTCTTCTTCTTCTTCTTTCTTCTTCTTTCTTCTTCTTCTTTCTTCTTCTTCTATCTTCATCTTCATCTTCACCAAAACTCTGAATCCCCCAAATGTCCCTGATCCTATCTGGTCAGTCTTGGAGGAAAGGAAGTTACCAAACTGGTTCACACTCAAATATGAGTGACCAAAGCATCTGTTAGCCATTTCCAACAGTGCCCTGCCAGTACCACCTGGATGTTGTTATTTTTTAAAAAAAGATTTATTTATTTGAGAGAGAGAGAGAGTTAGAGAACATGTATGCCAAGGGTTGCGGGGGGCGGGGGGCAGAGAGAGAGGAAAGAATCCTGAGCAGACTCCATGCTGAGCACGGAGCCCAACGCGGGGCTGGATCTCATGACTCTGAGATCATGACCTGAGCCAAAATCTAGAGTGTATGCTTAACCGACTGAGCCACCCAGGTGCCCCCTGGATGTTGTTATTTTGAATGGTGGCTGATTAGCACAGAATAACTGGCAGACTTTCTAGCTAAGCCGAGTATCTTCGGGACTGTTAGGTTATAAGTAACAGGAACCACTCAAGCCAAATGGGCAAAAATAATTTATTAGTGGGCTTACAAGGGCACAGCCCTCACAGAACTCGGTGGCAGAGGCACAGCTGGGCTTTGGGCGGGTCAGGGATAGGACAGCACTGCTGTGAGGAACCGGGGTAAACGTCTTTCTCTGGGACGGTTGTCCACAGACTCATCACAACTGTTTCGCTCTCTCCTCCTCTGCCCTTCCATGCACGTGGGCCAAATATGGCGCCCTTGAGTCAACCTGCCCTCAGTGCAAGGGTTCTGTTTCCACACTCTTGGGGGAGGGGGGAGCTTGAGGCCACATGGGACAAACACAGTGCCTGGCTCAGGGTAACAACTTCGTTATGTGTTTTTTTTGTTTTAGACAGGATGTGGGACCCACCCATGAGGGGAGAGGTTGGGGTACCTCTCCAAAAGAAGTCTACGACATCAGGCCAAGGAGCTTTTTGCTTAGTTCAGTAGGGAACCCCGGATGTTGAAGGGCTTTGGGGGAGGAGAATGACATTGATTTGTGTTAACAACAGGCCTGTAATGGGCTCTATATGAGTGGGGCGAAGAGCTCCTGGTGCCAAGTTCATCCTCAGGGAATAATGACTTGCAAACAATGGGATACATTCCCACTCTCTCGGCATCAGTGTCGCCTGGGACTGAATGTGGTTTAATGAGTCAAGAAAAGGGAAATTTGCCATTTGTTTTCCACTTTGTATGCCCTTGCTGGGAACTTGGATAAGTCACCAAACCTCTTTGGGATTCTCTTGATTCCAATTCTTTTAATAAAAAATTTTACACACACACACACATGCGCACATACGTACATTACTTACATATTTTTATGTTATTCTTTCAGCAGATTATTATTCTGTTTCTCTTTGCTGGCCTGAAAAGACTCTGAAGGTACATGGGCAGGGCCTCAGAAACCCAGCTGGGAGTCACAAGGATTATAAATCACTAGTGGTCAGGAAAAAAAGATGCTTCACCTCCTTCTCAGGGAGGAGAAATGTGTGCTGCGTGTGAAGAGCTACACAGGTTCTTTATAATGATGAAGCTGGTGATCTGGGAGGCAGAAAGCACACAGAAGCAAATGATATCTCAGATCTGCTCCTTTGGCAGGTGGGTGGGCATGGGAGAAGGGCAGGGAAAGGCCTGTTTTGCGGATTTGGGATGAGCGAGATTTTAAAAAGATAGAGAAGCCCTTGAAGGGCCTGTTGCTAAAAACTGTGCTGTTTCTCCAGGAGTCTTTAAAAAGCACCTACCACTTGGCTGTACCCTAGAGGAGAGAATTTGGCAGGATGAATGGTGCAGCCAATCCTCCTGCAGGTGACTCTGTTAACATTTAAATCAGGTGTGTTCTCCTAGGGGATGAAGCAGGAAACAAAACACACAACCATCTCCTGGGTAGGGTGGGGAGGAGCAGAGGGCCAGGAGAGAGGAGGTGTGCCCAGACAGGCCCGGTGAGCAAGCCCAGCCCTCAGCCTCGCTGGGCACGGACAGCTGGGCCTCCCGGAGGAGGGGGCTGCAGGCCTGCTGTGTGGACCCTCCTTCTAGCCTTCATTTCCTTTACTCAGGAGTCATTTATGACAATCCGTCGTGGCAGGCTGACGGGGCCGATAGCTTTTGGCAGAGGTCCTTTCTGCTTCTCGCAAATTAAATCACAGAGAGCGCCACGGGCAGTGAATACAAAGAAAGTGTTCAAGGCCACTGGATGGAGGGGAACAGCTGTTGGAGACCAAGTGTTTATGAGACTTCAAAATCCACATATACTAACAAGGCAGGCCCCTCCAAAAATAAATTGGGACATGGACACCTAAGAATGCTATCTGGGATGAAAGTCAAAACTCGGAATTACAAATAACAAGACAGAAATGAAATCTACAACAGACACACACCGAGAGCTTCCCGGTCCTGGGAGGGGGGCTGGCCAGCTCTGATCTCCCTCTTACAAGTAAAGAAACCAAGGCTGAAGTTGCTACGGTGACTCGCCCTCCGTCACATTGCTGGTAGGTGCCCAGATCCAGACTCTGAGCGCCCTCCAGGGCCCTGTCCGTGGTGCCAGGCTTCTCCAGCGGGCTCGGGTCTGAGCCAGGCAGTGGCAGTGGTGGGTGGAGCTGGCCAAGCAGACACTCCCAGCAGTGGCCCAGAAAAGAGCCCAGGGTGCTGCCATTTGGAACCCTTGTGTGTTTCCCACCTCATGTTAAAAAAAAAAATACAGATAGGGCGCCTGGGTGGCTCGCTCGGTTAAGTGTCCAACTCTTGGTTTTGGCTCAGGTCATGATCTCATGGGTCATGGGATTGAGCCCCATTTCAGGCTCCTCGCTCAGCCTGAAAGATTGAAAGATTCTCTCCCTCTGCCCCCGCCCCACACACGAGCATGCACGTGCGCTCTCTCTCAAAATAAATAAATACATCTTTAAAAAATAATAAAAAACAAAAAAATATTTAAAAAATACAGAAAGGCATGAGGACATATAAATAAGAGTTCCACCATTCAAAGATAAGCATTTTAAACATTTTAGCGCACCAAAATATCATCCTTGGAGATATTTCCTGTTTCGACACCTTTCCTTGCAAAAAATGAGATTCTGTTGTGCCTGCCGTGTTGCAACTTCTTATTCTGTATAGTGTGACTATCTCTCCAGGTCACATACACTTCAATAGTATTTTTTCTCATTTTGTTAAAAATGTATGTTTTATGATAACAGAAATAATCCTAGAATTATATGCTCATTGTAAAATATTCTAATTCAAAGAGTGCAGAAATGGATAGCAAAGAAAGCCAATGTTTCACTTCATCCCACCCTGGGGACGTAAGCAGTATTGCTAAATTTCTTATTTCCTGTTCGTCCTTTTCTGTGCGCAGACCAGATATAACAAACATACACGCATGTATCAGCTTCTCCCCACCGTGGGCTCCTAGACTGAGCTGCAGTTGGTATCTCCCCCTCCTCTTCTTCTCGGGACAGGAGGCCCCAGTCCTGGGAGAGGAAAGTGTCATGGGACCAGAGAAGGAAGCATCACAGGGCTAGTGACAGCATTTGGATTTGAAAACACTCTGGGGTGGTGGGTGGTGGGTGGTGGGTGGGGGACGGCAGCGTAGGGGGCCACTTACCCTCCTCCAGGGCCACTGAGTGGCAGGGCCCCACGGCACAGTCCACTGCCCGCCGCCCTCCCAGAGCACGCTGCCTCCTCAGGTGTGTATATTCTCACGACGGCCCTGATCCCTGCGTTGCAGGAAGAACTAGACCCCAGAGCAGCGAGTTGACCTCTTGGGAAGTTCTGTAGGTTTGATTTTGTTCCTGATGGCAAGTCGGTGGTCCCACATTTGCTGCCCCAACTGTCCTAAGGGGGGCATGTTGTCCACATCCATGGGAGGAACCGAATTCTGTCCGGTGGGCCCATGGGCTTTCTCTCTGGTCACCTGAAACCAGGCAGTCGGGGGCCAGACTGGACAGCATCCGGGTGGGCCTAGAGAGGAGATGAAGACAGCTGGGAGGTCACGATGTGGGTCTGCCTGGTGCTTCTTCCTCGGGACACACATACTTCAGTAGGAGTTCCTGACATGTGGACTGGGATTCCTGAATCCTCATTTGGGTGGTAGAGGCTTCTCAGAAGCCCGCTCCGAAGAGCACCTTCGCCTCCCTACTCCCACCTCCTGTCACGGCTGGGTGGCTGATGCCCACATATGGCCTATGAATTCCCTGTGGAAAGGGAGGAAGAACCATCCACGAGCCGTGTTAGAGACCCCAGCCCTCACCGAAGGCTTTGCCCTGATGTCATCTGAGAGTTGGCAGAGCATCAGGAAAGGGAGGCTTCTGGAGAGCAGGGGCAGCTGCAGAAGGCATTCAGGTCAGGGGTGGGCAGGTGCATTTCCCTGAGAACATGCTGCTCAGATGGGAGGGGCCGGGCTAATGGAGCCGGTTCTCTCCTAATGGGTTAAAATGACCCAAATCAGAGAAACCAGGAGGAAGGCAGTTTGCGGACGCTGCCTCTTCTCTGCCTTAGTGGGCAGAATGACCACTCCCCCCACCCCTGATGTCCATGTCCTCGTTCCTGGAACCAATGACTATGTCACCTTTCCTTGGCAGGAAGGGACCTTGCAGAGGTGATACTGAGACAGGGAGAGTATCCTGGACTATCCAGGTGGGTCCAGTATCATCACAAGGGTCGTTATAAGAGGAAGGCCGGAGAGCCAGAAGAAAAGGAGGAGATGCGCGGCTGGAAGAAGAGGTCATCTGGGTGGTGCGGTCACAAGTCAAGGAGAGCAAGTGGCCTCTGGAAGCTCAAGAAGGCAAGGCGCATGTTCTCCCCTCCAACTTCCAGGAGGAGCACAGCTCTGCTGACACCTTGATTTCAGACCTCTGACTTCCAGAACCTAGAAAATGCATCTGCGTTGGTTTAAGCCACTAAGTTTGTGGTCATTTCTTCCATCACCAACAAGAAAATTAATACACTGCTTGACAGAGAAGAGGGTTGGGAGGGTTTTGTAAGTTTTTGTTTGTGAATGTCTATCATATTTATTTCAGGTACCAGTCTCCTCGGGAGGAATGTTGGTTCCGAAATTGAACACCCATGATCTACAATCAGAAAGGACAGCACTTAGTGGAACGAGGGTCCATGCACAGAACAAGGTGAGTGACGCGGTTTTGTCAAGACTGCATTTTATTAATGTACCACATGGGCTCTTTTCCAAAACAAGGCTGATTCTGGGATACACATTAATTTGGATCTTAGCAGTTGCCAGCAGCACCTGGAAAGTTCCCTGGCCCTGAGGAGCCCCCCTCTGGAGGCGCCAGTCATGACTGTGCTCAGACCCGAGGGGTCTTCGTTATGCTCTTGGGAGAAGCCACGAAAGCTGCCGCCTCTCTTCTTGGTGTTTCCCAGGCTCGCCCACAAAGAAATTGGTGAGGGCTGGTGCCCCCTCCCCACCCCTGAGCAGGAGAGAGCCTAGCAGAGGTGCCCTTGGCCTGCACGGCTCAGAGGGAATCAGGATGGCGGGAGGTCACTCTTCTCCCCTGTGGGCGGCGATGGGCTCCCCAGCGACAGACGCCACAGGAGTATGCCACGTTCCCTGGGCTCACTGTGAAGGGCGTGCACCGTCCATCCTGGAGGAATGAAAGGCAGGCGTCCAGATCTCTTACCTGATCTTAGGTATGGTCGTACCGCCATATGTCAGGTGTGACAGCTATTTCTAAAAGCCCGATCTAGAACTTCCACATTGACGTTCTTGCCCTTAAACGCACCCGGTGGGGCTCCCTCGTTGTGTGTGAGGCTGCCAGCACCCATCAGCTTCCCTGTTGCTGGTGTCGACTGTCTCGGAGGGCCGCCTTGCCAGGCACTCCCACCTCCACCTCTGCCCTCTGTGCGCCCTGAGTGTGCCCCACTTTTGCTCACTGACCCTGCAGACCAATCCTGGTGGATTATCTCCCATGACTCAAAATCCTGACGTTCCAAAGAGCCACACTGCTTTACAGTTTTCCCAGGGAGCATGGGAATAAACCACTCACTCATCAAAGAGGCCCGGATGGAGTTCTTTGCAAAGCATGAGCAAGCAGCCCCGGGGTTGGGCAACAGCCGTGATGCAGTGGAGGTGCACGTGGGGTGCGGGGAGGGGGGTGTTCCAGGCATCTCAGGTATGGGTCCCACACGCCAAGGCAGGAGTTAGTTCAGGTATGACTGGACACGTGCTCAGTGCTAGCCTACGCTGGGGGCCTGAGCTTTGACAGCCCGCGGGACAGACCCTGCCCTCACCCGGAGTGCATACAGCAGAGAATAGAGGGGCACGACCCACTTGGGAAAGGGGCAGGTCTGGGCGCTAATTTCACGGGCAGGGGCTCGGGTGGCCTCCAGGCAGCATGCAGCGTGCTCTCGGGCATCATCACTGGAGTTCCCTTGTGCTCCTTCCGCCTCCTGAGGAGGGGCCAGGCTGCAGCACTGGGTTCCACTGAGACACCCATAAAGACCAGATCAGGAGGACCGGGAGGTCAAGGGCGAAATCTGTGCACACTGCCGTCCCACACGGGCCCGGGTGGGGGCTTGCTGTGTGTGCCCCCAGCCAGCTCCCTTGCCTCGCACCTAGGGGCGCCTTCCCTCTCCAGGTGCTCATCCTGCGCCCTTGTGCAGAGGCAGCCTGGGCCGCTGCCAGAGCGGTGGGCCCGAGGGCACCCGGCCACCCAGGGCTCATCACGCCGGGGAGGTCGCAGCCTTTAATTTCCATGCGGCTTTCGGTTCATCTAAAAATATCTGAGCAGCCACAGGATTGAATCTCCCCAGGAATGACCTAAAACCAGTGTAATGAGGACTGGGGAATTGCTTCATTTCCATTTAAGAGGGGCACGTTGGTACGAGAAAGGGAGAAGCTTCAGCTTCAGAAGCAGAGCTTTTGTCTCCGGTTTGCCTTGTGTGTGGCGGAGGGGGGCGGTGCTGGGGTCGGGGTGCAGCTAGGGTGCCCCCTCCTCCGGGAGCCCTCCCGACTACAGCGGCCTGGTGGCCAAGGGGGCTGGTAAATGCGGGCATTCCGGGCCCAAGAGGCATAAACAGGGGCCCAGGGAAGTCAACGGGAGACCGCTGGGGATCTGGGGACAGGCTCAGGCCACCTCACCCCCACCCAGGTTTCTCGAAATAATGAGTGTGCAAAGGTAAATAATCATCCCTAAGGAGACAACCAGAATTATCTGGGAGCCTGTTGGAAGGGCAGGGAAGGGGAGCGGGGCTCTCTTAGGGATCTGCCTTCCCCAACTCTACGAGGAAGTTTCAAAGAGGAGAGACCTCCTCCCCAAACAAGGCAACTAAACCCAGCCGCAGTCACAGCAGACACCCCAGCCCCCCACCCCCCAGACACCGGAGGTGCCCCCTGGATACACTGCATGTGGCCTCACCACCCCCGTGAGGGGGGCACTGCTGTCGCCCTGTTTACAGGCGGGGAACCAAGCACAGAGGCTGCCGTCCCCGCGGGCCCGCCACAGCATTCCGGGAGCACAATCTCCAACATTGCTGTCCCCTTTCCGAAAGCCAGTTTCTCAGAAGCCTAACATTTGGATAGATATCCTTGGAGTTCATCCTAAGAAATAATTAAAGATCTGGAAAACGAGGCTGCTCATCGCAGCACTAGTGAGAGGAGAGGGAGGTAATAAATTATGGAACACCTGTACAAGAAATCTGTTCCAACCTGAAAACTCTGCCATAGATAAATGTCTGCGGGAGAGGGAAATTGTCTGCACTATATCATTAAATGAAGAGATCCGGTTCCAAAACTGTGCGCGCCTTATGATCTGATTTTTGCTACACCCACGCCCCCCTAGGAAAAGGCGTGTGTTGGTGCTGTGGAGCATCCCACGGAGACCTGGCTTGGAGACTTGGCACAGATTCGCCCTCCGATGCACAGATCTGAGGAAGCTTTGCATATCCTGTTCTAAATGCAAAGGGGATGTTCTCAGGGAAGCACACACACCAGGAGAGACTCAGGCCAGGCGTGCTGGGGGACTGGCTTCTCAGTTCTTTCCCCTTCCTAAGGGAGACATGCGTGGCTCTGCCTGCCCGTGAGCGCCATCAGGCCACGGAGAGCCCCCAGCCGCTTTATTCCTCCCAGGTACGTCATCCTGACAACTCCAACGTCAACCTGTGTGCTTATAAAATCTGTGCTTGCAAGCCCACCACCTGGATCTGCAGTTTGCCATCTGTCGCCCACAGGTCACAGAGCACCAACGGGGCCTCTTGGGTGTGGGCAGCCCGTCCGTCCGTGGACTTGGGAGGCCTGACGGGGGTTGGGCAGGGGCCTGAGCACATGGATCTTGTCCTCCACGAGTGGGACACACAAGGCTTCAAACGCCATTTTTTGGTTCATCAGTATTTCCTCCGTCTTCCATAATAAACAAGTACTGCTTCTGTAAAAAGACGTTTAGTTTTAATTTCAAAAATAAGGCCCCCAGATTATATGATCCTTTCTATCTCTAAAATCCTCTGATCTCATTACAGCTCTCAAATGTTTACTCTGGGTTTTTTTCTTTCGTTGGCTTCACCAGAGAACAAGATTTTGTTTCCCAATGTGCTCACTGCAGGGACACTGTGTTCCCCGAGGTCTGTGGGCAAACGGAGGTGTAGTCTGTAGCCAGCCCTGGGGCCTGGGTGGGGGTGACACTAGGTGAGGACCCTCTGTGTAGTCTGGGGCCAGGATGGGGTGGGAGGATGAGGCAGAGCGACTTGGCAGAGGAACAGCTCTTTCCCTTCTTACTATATTCCTCCCTGAAAAGAAGAAAACACCTCAGCAATCCAAGAAATCATCAGCCAGGATCCTCAGAGAGGCCAGACTCATTTGAGCGAGATAGCTAACTCAGGAGGCAGGAGTCTGAGTGTTTAATCCCCTTTGGCCTCCAGTGTGGCCCTCCCAGCATGGGAAGGAGACCCTGTGTCTTAGCATGCAGAGGGGCGAGGGACTCCGCAGAGGATCTTGCTCTCGGGGGATGGGCTGGCATGGGTGTCCATGTCCCAGAGCCTGGAGGACACAGGAGCCAACACAGTCTCAGGCTCAGGGGAGCAGGACTTTCCACCCAGGCCGAGGGGCGACAGCTCAGGGGCTTTGTAAGAAGAATCTCTGGAACCTGAGCAGCTTGGCTAGATGCTGTTTTGAAGGAGAAAGAGAGAGGAGTGTATGATCACATTCCTTTGTATTATTTATTAGTGGTATTGGTATTAGAAAGAAGCCAAGCACACAATCTCTTCACTTGAGAATTCTGTCTGCGTTTCTGTACTTTCTTCTCATGGCTGTGAGTCTGTCAGTAAGGGGGTTCCACACCAAGTTCAAGGACAGGGTGTGCTCTGGGATGCAGTGGGGGTGGGGAGAGAGACAGCGTGCCGTGGCTGGCCTCACTCCTGCCACCCTGCACACTTCCGTACAGATTCTTTCAAGGGGACTTCCTGTCTGTGAACCCTTTTTCTTTTTCTTTTTTTTTTTAAAGATTTTATTTATTTGAGAGAGAATGAGATAGAGAGAGCATGAGAGGGGGGAGGGTCAGAGGGAGAAGCAGATTCCCTGCTGAGCAAGGAGCCCGATGCGGGACTCGATCCTGGGACTCCAGGATCATGACCTGAGCCGAAGGCAGTCGCTTAACCAACTGAGCCACCCAGGCGCCCTGTGAACCCTTTTTCTAACTCAGGCTGGGGGCCTCTCAAGGTGGACCCTCCCCTCCATGAAACTCAGGATAGGGTGGGATTGTCCCCCTTCCCCCATGACTGTGCCCAGGCTTTGCTGGTGAGACGTGTCCTTTGCCTGTTGGGGTGGGTTTTGTAAAAAGTGCCTCACCTGATTTTACACCCCGTTTTTCCCCCATCTTTCTGAACTCAGTGGGTCCCTGGAGAACAGAGGTCTTCAGGTTGTGAACCCTGTCATCAGAGTCCTGGGCAAGGCCAGGCCCCGAGGGCCCTGGGTAAAGGTGATCCCCCGGGAGGTGAAAGGTCATCTGGGAAGCTGACCGAACCCCAGGGAATGGGATCTGTCCAAAGCAGCACTGGAAAGCGAGTTAGCCGTGACTCTGCTTTTCTATTTCTGGTGGCCGTTATCTGTTAAGGTTTTCTTCTCTAGCTGGGCCGAGTCCCGAGGGACAAGCTCTGGGAGAGGAGGTGGGCTGGGAGGAGAGGGCACCAGAGAACACTTGACCTCGGGCGAAGCCAGGGTCTTCTCTCTGGATCTTGGTCCATCATGGACAACCACCCTCACTGAGCTGTTATGAGGCTCTGGTGACCCGGTGGCGGTGAGGGTGGTCGCCCCTCCCCTGGCTACCACCTGCCAGTTCCTGAACACATCGCACTCCCACCCACCGCAGGCCCCACCCCACCCCACCCCTGTCTGGAGACGCTCCCTCGGCCCCTGCACAGGGTCTGAGTCAGTCACACTCCGCTTGACTCCTGTTCTCCCCTGCTCGGTCTCCTGTAGCACGTCAGGACCCTCACCCGTGGGGACCCTTGTGGGCAGGGGCGGCCCCTCACGCCCGTGGGGGCCCTGGGCGGGTGTCAGTGACCTGACTGATCTAGGGCCCTGGCGGCCACAGGCACAGGCCAGTCGGGGAGCTGCCCTTCTCACAGCCGCGTTCCCCTCGCTGTTAGATCGGGACCCCGTTCCACATACTTGCCTCTTGCTAGGACAGCCTCGTCACCAGCTGAAGAGGAGGAATTGACAGAAATCCCGGGAGAGCGGCTCAGAGTAAGCAAGCCAGGCCGGGCCAGCTCGGGGCCAGAGAAGGTATGGACCAAGGGCCAGTGAGCAGACGTCACTTCTACTCCCTCCTAGAGATGCCACTGTAGCTCCGAGGAACTTCGGTGACTGGGAACTTTTACTTTAAAATAAGGATGACCGGGGCCAGGAACAAGCCAACCTTCATCTTCTGTGGCAGGCTTTTTTTTTTCCTCCTGTATGAATCTCTCCTTTATTTGAGAATGTGGTTTTCTTAAAAATTCCGTGTTCAAGATCACCCCACACTGTTGGTCTGAGGGAAGCAGGGTCGGAGGAGGGAGATGTGCGAACAGGCTGTGCACATCTGTCCTCCAGGGGAGGGCCCCACGCTGCCTTTGTCGTGCGTCCCGTGTGGCCCTAGGCTCAGAGCAGGATTATGGGACAGTGCATATTTACATAAACAAATTACATCTGCTTAAGATTAGGAGTGGCTTCGATAATGCACCTGGCATTCTAGTGCTAGTTTGAAAAAACTTCTAAATTATACCACTTTACCTCCTAATGACTGCAAAGTTGTAGCAAAATCAACCAGATTTAGGACTATCTACATACATTCCTGGTGTTCAGAGCGGAACAACCCTCACTCATCATCCATAGTGGAGGAAAAGGCAGATGGGCGGTTCCTCAGAGGCACTCAGACCCAGGCTGTCAGCCAAGGAGCCCCAAGGAAGGGGTTTTTCTGGGTGCGTCTGCCCGGAAAGGGCAGTGAGCATCGGCTCCATTTGACTGCATCCCTTCTTTTCTGAGAAAGTGGGGCCTCTGGAGTGGGGGCTGGGGGTGGGCTGTGTTGGCACAAAGGGACTGGGGGAGAGGGGCCACTAGTCACAGGGGCCATGGTTTGAAGGGCACCCCAGCTCCCCCACTCACTGGCTGTTCAATGCCGTGCAAGCCACTGTTTTCTTCTCACATGTTTTCCTATCTGTAAAATGGGCTTCCTGAGTTTTCAGAGAGGCTTTTCCTAGCTGTATTTGCCCTGAAGTCCTTTCTCCTCAGTTGGAAAGTTTATTAACTACGGTTAGAGCAGACTTACGTGAAAGAGCAAGAAAATAAATAGGACTACGTGGCCACAGCCCATTTGCTGTGCACAGAGTCCGGGGCAAATGGTGGCTCACCAGCCTGCGGTTCTCCCTGGGGTCTAGACAGGTGCGGGAGCAGCCCAGAGACTTACCTTCCCTCACCCGGGTAACACCAAAGCAGGACTGTTGGGGTGTATGTGTTTCAGCCTGATGACAACAATGATGGGACAAAAGTTGCAGGAAGGTTTCCACAGAGATTTATTTTAAACCGTGGAGGCAACTTTGCATTGAGAGTCTTACATTGGTAATGGCCACAGGCATGGTTCGGTTAGAGGTAACACAGTGAGAACGTGAGCAGAGTTTAAAAACATTCACAACATCCAGCAGCATTGAACGCAGAACCGGACACAGGCATTTTAACATTGTTAAGAAATTCTTGCTCAGTCCCACCTGCTCAGTCAGGAAGTCAATGTCAAAGTCTCCAGTGGCAGAGAGCATGGCGATGCCAGAAGGGTTCTGCTAGAACCGCATCTGAGAAATCTGTTCCTGCTTCAGGCTCATGACATCCTCAACCTGACCCCTTGGGGAATCTCATTTCAAAAAGAAAGAAAAAGATATCCGTGAAGTAACATGCCTGCTGCAGCCAGGTTCTACAGGGGCCCCAGACGGACGGCGTGCAGCATGGAAGAGTCCGTTGCCCTGGTTAGGGACAGCGGTAGGTAGGCAGGCACGAACAGGGGGCGAGCACCTTCCCCGTTGTCTAGTTAATAACAGTTTTTGTACTTTTCATATAAAGATTTTCTTTTGCGAAATGACAGTACATGAAAATAAGTCATTTAAAAGGCAAGGCAAATGGCGTCCAACACAAATACAGGACGAGTACCGTGGTTACCAGTGACACAAGTGTTTGGTCTAGACTTCATACAGATGGATGCTACGGACCTAAGGCTGCCATCTATTCAAATGGGAGGAAAAAACGTGCATGTAAATGAAATAACGCTTTGCAAACCATTTTCCCTTTTTGAATTAGAGTTCACCCTCTTCTGATTCCCAGAGAACCAGGAGAAAAAAATATCAAGGTCAGATTCTCAATCTAACCTTTAAACCAACCTGTGGTTCTCTGCCACTTTCTCTCCCAAGGAAGTCAGCTACCGTTTTTGAGTCACAAAGGGGAACATTTTGAGGTATCTTATTTTTTAGTGAGATGGTACCATGATCAACTTCCACCTTCATCATCTTTTCCAGACCTCTCGATGGAAAAATGCAGAGAGCCATTTCCTTGATAGGACAGAAGACAAAGACCTCCCGATACTATACTCCCACCTGTCGGAGTAAAGTCAGCCATTAGTCCAACAATAAACATTCATGGAATCACAGGATCGCAAGACCGGAAGGGGTCTCAAGAACGAGCATCCAATCCAGTCCCTCCTCCAGGCTTCAGCCGCCCGCCCCCGTCTCTGACAAGGGACTCTCTACTGTGTGTTCCAACATTCCCTGGTGTGCGAAACGCAAAGGAGGAATCCCACTCCAATTTTGGACAGATCATATTCTTAGGGACTGCTTTTGTGTGTTAGGCCTAAATAGGCTTCTCAGTGGAAAGGATCATGTTTAAAGGCAAAATTACAAACTAAAACCCCCAAGGGGTGGTATGTATGTAATTCTCGGTTGTGAAGTTGAGCTGAAGTTGAAAAATGAACATGGATATTCCTGAATTAAGTTACGGACACAGGACACTTGGGCAGCGAAAGAAAAAGGCAAATGGATGGAATGGCAAGAACCAGAAAGTGCCAAGCCTCGTGGGGAGGTGGGGGGGGTGGTGCTGGGACGCCCCTGCTGGGCAGAGTCAGGTGTCAGAGGGGGCGCTGCCTGAGCCCTTCTCACGGCCTCTGACCTGTGGGAATGTTCCCTTCCAGGTGGCGAGAGGCACTACGGTGAGGACTTAGCACGTTTCCCACACTGCACTGAGAAGACCCATGACTTGCAGGAACAATTCAGACCAGCGGGGAAATGGAGGGCGGCCGCCAACGGGCTTGGCTCTGCATACACCTGTGATGCTGCAGTTGTCTAGAACAGTCTCCTACCACCCGGCATGGTCTTTCCTTTGTCAAAGGGGAGCAGCTGAGCCTGGCCCACCTGTGTCATAAGGGAATTAGCTTGTGCCTTCTCCCAGGCCAAGTCCACGCATGTGGTGGCCTCCAGCACCACCTCACGGCCTCCGGGGCGGGGCCGTGCCTCCAGAAAGTTAAAAAATTAGCTGCCATGGGTCATTTTAAGATAACCATCCCAGGTCTTTCTAAAGGAAAAAAACAAAAAGCTTAGATACTGGCCTCAGTCAGCTGCAGGAAAACCTGACTCTCAAACGCTGAGTGAAGCTCTCATGGTGCTCCGTGTACTGCTTCCCTCTGAGGTCACGGGGAACCCCACACAGCCCCCCCCCAAACCCTCCCCCCTGGACTGCAGCCGAGCACCTGATACCCTCTGGCAACTCCAAACCACTTGTGGCCTCTGTGCACCAGGCTGATGCCAGATCGTAGGCCTGTTTCTGTCTCAGCAGCCTGCACATCATTTCCCTACTGGACTCACTCCAACTGCACCTTTAACCCTCCGCTCAGAGGTCCTTCTGCTGGGGGGCGGGCACCCTGTGCACAACCCCTGGGGTGGGCCCCCGCACACTTCTATCACAGAACGGACCGCATGGGACTGACATGACCCATCCACTCCCTCGAGTGGCCTCTGCCCAGGCCAGGGAATGGGCCCCGGCCCCCCACGGCCTAGTTCAGAGCCTGGCTTGCAGCAGGCGCTCTACAAATGGCTGAAATGGGCTACACTCTCGAGGATCATCTAAGAGAACTCCGTGTTTAAAATGGACTTAATTTCTGTGTTTCCCAATCAACTTAATAGATATCCCCTGTCGGTTAAAATTTACCATTGTTTTAAAGGAGAGAAAAAGACTGTTTGGCAAAGTGCTTTCTTTTACTTTAAAATACGTATCTTAGTGAATGAGATCACTTATATATGATTAAACTATGAAAAAGCAAAATCAAAGGAATCTCATTTAATGAATATTTATGTCCAGTAACTTTGGTACATAGTTTAGAGCTATCCCTTTACTTAAAAGTCAATCTCCAGGCTTTAAAAAGGGATTAATGTTAAGCAAAAATAAATTATGCTTTTTAAAAATGAATCTCAAACCATGAAAAGGTGATGTTTCCTAAGAAAGGCAATGGCTGTAGACTCAGACTCACTCAAGGCCGGCCTTCAGACAACAGGGGAGATGAATTTTCAATGCCCTCAGATTTCCACCTGGATTTGTTGCTGGGGAGGGGTCCTTGAGGAAGAGTGTAGGAAGGAGCTTATGCTGATCAAGACCTGCAAGAATTGCCTCACTGCATAGTACCCACCCCCTCAGAAACAGGGCTGGGGCCAACAGAAGTGTCAGATTCACCCATAAGAGGATCAGGTCTGGTTCCTGAGAGCTGCCTAGAGGTCATTCCTCCTAGTCATGCCATTAGTAGTTAATGCCCAAAAGCAAGTGTCCCTGGAAAATTCTTTAAAACTTTTAGATTCTCTTGTTGACACCTTAGCTATATATCCGACTGCCTGGGATGACCAAATGTTTTCTGCTTGGAACATTCTAGATCTCTGAAGATCCCTTCCAGTTTTGTGATTCTATGATTCCTTGAATAACTGAAACATCAAATGAGAAATACATCATTGATTGACATCATATAAAAAGACATGCAATTCCAAGTACTTAATGTAAAACCACCTTTGCTACTGTGGACACAAACCCAGACCATGAAAGGTTCCAGTAACATTTCTTTGGAGAAACCAAGAGCATGTGATTGGTTTTATCCTACCAAATGCATAACAAAAGTCTGTGCATGAGATGTGCAGTCCTGCCACTTTCCCGACATGACCACGTTAGGCATTCCTTGCCAGAACTGCTGAAGTAACAGAGCAAAAATATACGTAAAGTGCAATTCCAAGAGGGCAAAACAAGAACTATGACAGGAGAAAAGACAAGTGCTGGCGTCAGCTTTCACTCCTAATGAGTGAAGCCACTGCCCCATAAAATGCTGGGAAGACACCCAACACCAGCATCTCTCTCTCCATGAGTTACAAAAAATGGTGGAGACACTCATCGCAAAACTCAAGAATTCACAGTATCACAAACACACACCGTTGGTTTGCTAAATACTTCTTAACAAATTCAAGCACCCACGCACATAAGGAGAAAGAAAAGGGCAGAGAGGGGGAGACTATGATCTATCTGTGGTTTTTGATCGGGACTCTCATCCCCAATGAGGTGGCAAGTGGTGTCAACCTCTGAGTGGCTCTGAGTGGCTCTGCGGGCTGGGGATGAGCCACGCCGGGAGGGAGACGGCTGCAGTGAAGTGCGAGGTTGCAGCCCAGAGTAACCGCGGTGGACACTCGTGACCCAGCAGGGACAATCCGCCTCCCCAGTGGGGTGCGAGCTCCTCTGGACCTAACTCAGAGCCCATCAGCCTCGCTGGGCACTGATCTACTGCTTCCCTGACACCGTCCTCCCTCTCTGCATACGGGCCACGCTCCGAAATTCGGGAAGGGAGAACACAGCGATTCGTTCTATTACTCGTTTCCAACACATGGTTCTCTATTATGTACAACTTAGTACATGGCTCCAAGTTCCAGGAGTAAACTATAAAATAGATATTTGAGTATTTTGAATTTCATTCCCTTTTTAAAGCTCTCTCACAATCATGCAGACAAGACTCAGCTTAATTCTAACAGCTTCGACTGATGGCAACCAAGAGTAGCGTGGAAGGGGACAGCGAAGTGACAAGTGGAAACCGCTTCTGTGCGTGCGTGCATGTGTGTACACGCGTGTCCAACCTTAGAGTGTGGTCACATGAGCTCGTCTGATGTCTCAGATGACGGCCGCCATGTGCCAGGGCTGCACGGGGCACACCCACCGCTCCTGCTTCCCACGGCTGTGGCGACAGAGCCGTCCCTAGGAAGAAGCCCCGCCCTGGGAGCACGCGGGTCAGGGGTCTTCAGAGAATGGGAGTATGGCAGCCGAGGATGGAGGGTAGTACTCTTCCCGGTTGGAAAGAAAAGTAATTAATAGTCGTGAGGGGGAAAAAACAGCTTCCCCCCCCCAAAAAAAAGAAAAAAAAAAGAAGGAAGGAAAGAAAGAAAGAAAGAAAGAAAGATAGATAGATAGATAGATAGATAGATAGATAGATAGATAGATAGATATAGGGAGCATTTCAAACACCACCAACAAAAACCTGTCAAATCAGAAGGGAGCAAGATAATGAGGACGGCTTGGATAGCGAAGGGCAAGTAATTGGCCTGTTTCTCTGCAAGGCTTCATTGAACCTGGTGATCCTCAAGAGACTCGGTGGTCCCCCGACGCCCCTGACAGGTGAGGGTGAATGAGGTGGGATGTGTAAAGGGCACATAACGGGGCAGGCTCACGGCACATGCTGGCTGCCAACAGGTGAAAATAAAATTTCTAAAAAGGACTCAACATTTGAGCCACTACACACAAGAATATTTCACTTTATCAAGTTTGACTGGATTCCCTTAAAATTAGAGTTCTTCGGGTTCATTTTCTAAAGCCCTCTTTTTTCTTTTCTTTCTTGTTTTCTTGTTTTCTTTTAACATTCCCAACCGGAACACAGTATAAGCTGTAGGACTCGGTACCTTTTATGTCTCAGATCACACAGTTTTAGTATGAAAGTGTGCAAAGTGTTCTGCTAAAATACACGAAGATAAAAATCTTTAAATATCTAGTTTTTCAAGGGGAAGAAAATACAGATGGTGAGGAGTAGAGCAGGATTCAATCTTGCAGGAAGGAGCACATTCAAATTCAGAGGTGATGTCGCGTGGACAAACACATCTTAAAGACACTTTTTTCTGAAGGACATGGGGTCTGGGTTTTTTTTGTTTTGTTGCGTTTGTTTTCAATACTGTAAATGAGGAAGAGCTATGTGAATCACACGAAAACATCAAAGGCTCAGAAGGCTCCAACTGAAGGAGAAATGACCCAGGCACTGAGAGTCGGAGCTCTGAGTTACAATCATCGCTTCTGGGACGACAGTGGTCGGGAGCAGCTTTCTCACAGCACAGACAGAACACTGAGCGAGGCAGAAGCACAAGGTCGCGTCTACTCGGCTGAACAGGAATGCGTTAGACATTCCAAACGGATTACTCTTCAGGTGATATTCAAGAAGTCAGTCGGAAAACCCACACGAATGGTTTCCCGAACCTCTCAGTCGAAGAGGAGGTCTGTGAAAGCAGAAACACTGAGAATAAAGAGTGTCAATATAAACACATACACGGGCGAACATGAAGCGGAGGGGAGGTGACAGAGAGGGAGGGAAAAGGACGCCGACCACAGAACATGCCCACGTGAAGGAAACATGGAAAGGACTTTATAACGACCAAAAATACCCCCAACAGATGCCTTCCTCATCTCTCTAACACACAGAGCAACAACGAAAAGGAAGTGAGAAACACATACAAATTAAACACCCCACACAGAGTTTTCAGTATGCTCAAAACAATGTAGCACAGCCAGAGTGTAGAAACCATTTGTTAAAAAAAACATATCTTCTTTTCTATTGTATGAACAGGTTGAAAGAGTCTCCTTGCCGGTGTCCACTCACTAGCTCCCATGCCAACTCAGCCCGGCTCGCGAGCTTCTCTCGGACTCTCACGCGTCTGCTGACAGCCCCAGTAATAAAGTGGATTCCAACAACCGTTTCTTGAGTAAATGCTATCTGTCTGCGCCTGGGGTGTCCTCAAGACACGACTGGGGTCATATCCCATAACTGCGGAAAGGAAGAGAAAATGCAGGATGAACTGAAATTCCATTGCGTTGAGTGAGGATCAACAGTCCTCGTCATTGAATACAAGTGAACTTTTTAATTTGCCAAGCAACTCAGTACTACACTAACATGATTTCTACATCTATAAAATGGTATTTTGCCATGAAAATGTTTGACACAGACTTCAAAACCACGGCCGTGGGCGCCTGGGTGGCTCAGTCGGTTAAGCGACTGCCTTCGGCTCAGGTCATGATCCCGGAGTCCCGGGATCGAGTCCCGCATCGGGCTCCCTGCTCAGCAGGGGGTCTGCTTCTCCCTCTGACCCTCCTCCCTCTCATGCTCTCTGTCTCTCATTCTCTCTCTCTCTCAAATAAATAAATAAATAAATCTTAAAAAAACCCCAACCAAACAAACAAAAAAAACCAAACCACGGCCGTGGGGAATTCTCATTCGGCTAGTGCAGAATCTGACAGATCAGGTTCCCTCTGGGGCAAGGGAACGAACATCTATCAGGCCCCCAGTGGGCCCCTGGGACGCGCTGTGTCCCTTCCAGATCTTCTCTCATCCAGTCTTCCAAACAGTCTTCCAAGATGTCCCATTTTTCAAAAAGAAAGGAACCGAGGCTCCCAGAGTTCGCTTTAAACTTGCTCCAAGTCCCAGGGGCCTAGTGGCTTCGAAGGGGCTTATTTTAACCACCGCATCCTGCTGCTGCCTCCAAGAAGGGACCAGAGCGGCTGGGGTGACAGCGCTCAGTGTGCGGGGCGAGCCCGTGGTGCGGCTGTGGCCCCTCCTGTCCAGGGCCTCTGCTGGGGCACCAGATAAACTCAGCATAGTCCTCAGGCCCTGGAGGAATGCTTCTGGATTAACTGATCTCCTGGGGAAAAGGTCTTGTTTATAACTTGCTGGCTTATTCGAGTCCTTCCTTTCACTCAATGCTCAGCTCAAGCCCCCCTTCCTTCCTGAAGCCATCTCCAATAGCCCCATCTCCCTCTACGGAGCTCTCAAGGTAATTCTTGCCTGTATCACTCTTTTGGCTGCTGAATACGGGACCTATTATTAACCATCAAAAAGAGTACGTCCCCAGCAGGCGACGTGTTCCCTGAAGCCAAGAGCCATGTCTCGGCGTGTGCAGGCAGGGCCCTCCTGCACATGGTAGGTTCTCAAAAATGCTCACTGCTGAGAGTAACCTTGTGAGCAGACCTCACACAGTCTTGGGGCTCCTGTATATTGGCATAGGACCAAAGATGGAAAGCTTCTAAAAGAAGATGGCGTCCTACCTTAATAACCTTGTCCGTTCCAGAAGTCAGTAACCATCCTCGGGTTGCATCAAAATGCACATGCACAATGTTATGTTTGCTGTCGTGGAAGGTCGCTGTGGGTGCACGTCTGGAAGGAGCAAAGTAAGTTTCCAAGAGTGAAAAGCGGTGACACATGAATGAAGGAGAGATCTAAGGTGTCATGAAGCTCTAACGGGCAGCCAAATGACTAAGACAAGTGCTTCACTTTAAAACTGCTCCTCATATCTACCTTTATTCCCTGGGAACCTGTTAATGATTTTTTAAAAAAGATTTATTTATTTGAAAGAGACAGAGAGCGTGCACAAACAGGAGGGCTAGAGGGTAAGGGAGAGAGAATCTTAAGCAGGCTCTATGCTGAGCTTGGAGCCCGACCCAATCCCCCAACCGTGAGATCACAGGCTGAGCCAAAACCAAGAGTCCCGGACACATAACCGACTGAGCCACCCTGGCAGCTTTTTAAAAGGTGAAAGGATTCTTATCTTCTCCAAAATGGGAAAGAGATGATGACATTTCCCAAAGTCTTATGGATTACTTGTTGCTCTGATAGAGCCTATGAAAATCTCATCTATGCCTCTGACAAATCTTAAAACAAACACCTCAGTGCTTCTGCTAGGTCTGATCTCAGAAGGACCTGCTGGTATAATAGTCTACCTGTGCCTATTAAAAAAAAAAAAAAAAGTACACCTGTTACAAAGCCTAAGATACCATTCTAATTGAAGGGTTACCCATTCTTTCTCCTCGTTTTCCTGGTATAACTGCAGGTTTAGTTTTTCTATGGTATTCTAACACTTCAACAAGTAAAACAATCTATAAACAAACATTTTTATTTGTTTTGTATTTTTTAATCTATGCATTGTTTTAGTAAGAAGGCTTGTCGACTGCTTAGGTGATCTAGAGGCAATGCAAAAAAGGCAGAAGAAACAACGACATGTGGAGGGGGACAGGGACATGGGGAAGGAGACAGCTGGTCTGTCATCAGGCTTCAAGGGCACCCACTCCTCAGCAGTGGGCTCTCTGAAGACAGTTTTACCTGTAGCTAGGTCTACGGGACAGTCTTCAGTATCCTAAGATAATCACTTAAAATATTTAGAATTCAAGATTTAGGCTTAATGTGCAGCTGCTTAGGCTCTCTGGGTCTGTGTCTTTATCTATAAAATGAATAATTAATTTAGAGTATCTCTAAAGTCTCTTGCAGCTCTTAATTGAAAAGAACTCTCTAATTTCATCACATATGATGAGTGGAAAATAATCAATGAACATAAATGCTTACTGATGCAAGGGCATCTTAATTTATATTTGATATGGATAAAGAAGAATGAAAAAAAACACATACATTAGGGTTATCCATAAGAGAATACTTAATTGCCACGACTTTCCTTTAAATGCTGACTTCCTCTGGTGCATCTGAAATACGTTCCTATTTACATGCTGTTTTAAGACACCCGTCTAGTACTTAAAATGATTCTACTGTATACAAGGTGGGGGAGTAGGTGGGGGAGAATCGGGCAGATGAGTTTCCTAGGAAACCCTGCTGTCATTCATTAAAAGGGGAACCTATTGCAGATCATTCTGCTTCTCTCTGGGGCAGTCTGCAATGAGCGGCACTGAAGAGATAACACAGAAGTGCCCTTACACCCCCCCCCCCAAAAGCACAGGGACGTGCAGTAACCTAAGGTCCTGGATTATCGGGCAAGACCACCAAGCAAGACTGAGTCGCTGGACAACTAGTGGTACTGGCCTCTTAGATAAAAAGCGACTCAGCTCTTCCGGAGAAAATGCAGCCTCTGGAGCCCATGGGCTGATTGAGCTCCTGTAAAATGACCAGTTTGGGCTAGAAAATGAAGCCTGGGTTCCTGCACTCCGGAGTGACTCTCAAGGAAATAAAGGGCTGGCAGGGCTGGCTGAAGAACCCCTGCTGGCAGGGCACCTGCCCCTGGGGTGGGGAAGAGCACAGAAGACATGAGTTCTTGATGCGGACTCTCCTTTCCTATCTCACGAGAGCGCGCGGATGTCCTGGCAGAACGGAGGGCTCTGCGCCCGGGCCACGGTCTGTATTGGCAACCAGCAGGAACGAGGGCGCTGGTGGTCACGGCTGCGGTGCCGGGTCACCTTCTCCCCTTAGCCCAGCTGGAACTCACTCTTCATCGGTGATGGCCTCGTGGCAGCTGTCACAGACCCTCACTTCAAACTCGAAGCCCATCAGAGGGATGGAGGAGCGCTTGGAGCTGCACTTGCCGCAGACGGCCTTCCCACACTTTCGGCAGTGGTGCTGGAGGCGGAGAGAGCACAGGCTTGCTGGGGCTCCCGCAACCCGGCCCCGCCACGTCCCCGCCACGTCGGCGCGGCCGTGGCCAACAGCATCCGGCTGAGGATGCTGAACGAGAGCGCCCAGGAAACGGACGAACACGCCAGCTGCGTTCTCTTTTTGGGCTCTTTGTTCAAATGGAGAACCGCTGGAAACACATCTGTTTGTGTCACCACACCCACCCCCTACCCCCACCTCCCGACCACAGCCCCCCCTCCGCCCATCCTAGGTCCTTCCCAGCTACGGTTAGCATAAACTCGAGGACCACCTGGTGGATGAAGGACCGTGTGAATGCAATCCAGTTCAATCTACTGTCTACACTTTGGCCATGCTCAACTAGGTGACTAACACGGATTTCCTTGAGGAGGACCAAACCCAACCATGAATCGGACTGAAAATGCTGTATGATTACAAGTAGCTCTAAATGACTAAAACTAGGATGGCAAGAGAGAAAGTGAAATTATTAAGAAGAAATAAATACCTCTTATATAATTCTACGGTTTGGTCCCACTATGAGCTAAGCATGATCCCTCTAATTTTAAGGTGTATTTCCGTAGATGCCACTAGAATTCTAAAATCGTATCTTAACTACTTGAAACAAGTCACTACAGAAACTGAGTCCAGGAGGAATGAGCTGCAGTAGGTAAGGGACTACTTGAATGTGCATTCTCAGAGTGGCTCCAGGGTAGCGCCTGAACCCCCCCCCCCACTGCCCCCCGCACACCCCCTGCCCGGGGGTGCTAGTTCTAGGCTCACAGGTGAAGCTGTTTCCTCTCTATTCCATTTTGATGAGGGATCCATATCACCCACCTGTCTTAGGCCAATCTTCTTATTGTCCCACATTTGCTTGAAGTTCCAGAAGAAAGGCTGATTACACTTTTGGCAGGAATCACTGTCCAACCATTCAGGAGTCTGGTGAAATAAAGCACACAACAGGTCACAATGCGACACAGTGAGGACAAAGGAGCCATTAACAGTGATGAAACTTACAGAATCAAGACGTGTTTCTAGGAAACGGAGGTGTGAATTCTCAGTCATTTACATCTACTGAATGCCTATGGTATCTCGAGCCCTGGGGATGTAGTGATGATAAAAAGAATCTCTCCCGTCATGGGGCTTATAATTTATGAGGGAAGACTAAACAAGACAATATTATTAATATCAATTATTTAAGTAAGAGGAAGTGTAAAGGCCCGAGGAGTAGAAGCAGCGCGCCGGGCGGGGGGGGTGGGGGGCGGCTGGGGCCAGGTCACTCGCACAGGGTTCTGACGGCCATGTTGACTTTATCTCATATTCTCGGATCACATGCAATTAGATTTGCTCTGGCTATACAGAGTTATGTGTAACTGCACAGTCCACATGTGCACAGCTACCTGCACTGGAGGATACAACCTGACCGCAGTGGGTGCCCAGGAAAGCTGCCTGTCCACCCTCCGCTCACGGCAGGGCCCAGCAAGCCTGGAGACTCTGTGCCTTGCCTCATGGAACACACGCTATTCTGCCTTTATTCACTACTGCCCAACTTCATCATGAGTACTCGAAACAATGTCAACTGGGTTTAAAAGATATGTTAAGCTTAAAGCTATTCTTTAGCAAATCTTTACAGATTATGCATACAGTGATTCTACATCTGTTTCTAGAGTTCCACGTTCAACTCTGTACATTTATCATTTGGATGAGGGACAGATCTCTTTCCACATATCACTGAACCTAAGGAACCTGGAAAAATATATCCAAACCCGGGGTTTCTCAGAAGTGAGTTGCAGAGAACTCCATTTTGACTCACAGGACACTTACTATAAAAGAAGCCTGAGATCAAACAAGTTTGAGAAATGTGGCAAACAATGTCCTGTCCCCTCTCTCTACAAGATTTTTTCTTGTAGCTTTTTTCTGCTGATGTAATCCTTTTCTGAAGAAGCCCTATTACAGAACAGACTTGGGGATTTAGCCTATTCTCCTACCTACAAGCAGAAATGAACCTAAAGCTACACATTGTCTCAAAAAAGAAAAGTAAGAAGGTGACATTTGAAGAGTTCCAATTCTTGGTCTGTTTATTTTATTAAAACCAAAGAGTTCTTAAGAAGTAAGCTTTGATTTGCTTTGTAATTTTCAAGTTCTAATCAGTTTAAAGACTGATCTAACAAAATGTATAATACAGTTTTCAGGAAAAACATTTTATCCCTAAAAGACTTATCTATGTTGTGATTTTTCAAAACACTTACGATGCAGGAAAATCAGGAGGATTTACAAAAAATTGTCACACACACTACTATATCTTTTATAAGGAAACATGCAGGGTCAGGACGTATATCAAATACATTGTAGTGGGTATCTATGAAGAGGGAAATGGGAGTAAGGAACAGGAAAAGGGGAAAAAAACCCCAGCATGTGTAGTATGATTCCATTTTTTTGTCAAAAAAAAAAAACAAAAAAACAACAACCTGAAAAACAAACCCTGTGCATGTGTTTTTGCAGAGAAAACTGTAAGGAAGGATGTTACCGGTGATATTCCTGGGGTGGTGGTATTATTATGAGCAATTTTTTTTTCTTTTTTTTTTTAAAGATTTTATTTATTTATTTATTTGACAGAGAGATAGAGAGCACAAGTAGGCAGAGAAGCAGGCAGAGGGAGAGGGAGAAGCAGACTCCCCACTGAGCAGGGAGCCCGACGTGGGGCTCGATCCCAGGACCCCGGGATCATGACCCGAGCCGAAGGCAGCCGCTTAACCGACTGAGCCATTGACATGTTTTCTATTTGTTAAGGGGTACTCTGTAACTTCTCTACAAAGAACATGTTTATCCATACTTCTAAAAAAGGATACAATTTTTGCAAAAATGGATTTCGTTAACAGTAGAAACACCTTTAGCCTATGAGATGTGGGCTCAGCCACTCCGCCTTCCATCTGCCCCCCAACGCCACCCCCATGGCCAAGCTATCATCTCTGATGCTTCTACTGCTCAGGAGCACCAGGACACAGGGCGCGACTTCTCTCGTTCACCTGTCTTTCCTCGTGGTGTTCCCTGTGCCCCTCAGAGCATAGCCAGGCCCGAACAATCTTTCAGCGCCTACGTCCTTCCACAAAGTCTCTGCTGAGAACGTTAGCCGACAATGGTAACGCCCCTTCCTAAATGCCCAGCACTAATGTTCCATCCTACAGCAACTGTAATCGCATCATTTTTACCATGTAATAGTTTTCTGAAGTCTTCTCCCAAATATTTTTTTCTTCCAGAAAGCCTACCAGCGCAGGGACTGCTTCCTTACATGTCTCTGGCCTCTTGAGGTAAGCACTGCACAGCACTGGCCATGACCCCCAGAAGCCCCACGATACATCTCAGGGGATTTAGGTTTATAAAATATGACACTTGAAAAAAAAAAAAATGGCTGGGACCCTCTCTACTCACTGGGGCTCTGAATCACCCGAAGATTCAAGATAGTCAACAAGTTGCAAGTGCCCCTGTATCTGCATGTCAAAGGGCATAATTTAAGCAAGATGGCTCAAAGGACTGCCCATCAACCAACTGGGTTCATCTCTGGAAAGCACATCATTATCCTCCTTTGGGCCTCTGTCCATCAAGGCTGGAGTCTGCGTGCACCCAGGGAAGAGAGCCTGGCGGCTCCCCCTCTGCTGGTCTGGTCAGTTAGGCCTGGGAAGAAGTGGGGACAGACGAGGTGTGACCTCCCTCGCCCAGAGCAGGCTGTCGTGCAGGATCTGCAGTCTCATGGCTGTACCAATTTCCCTGCCTTTATACTGAAGGGGCCAAGTGGTACTTTCAAAAGCAATATTCTACAATTCCCCACTTCCTAACAGTAATGATCATTTTAATTAGTTACTAATAGAACTCCCACGGATTTATGGTTTGAGCAAGTCAGGCTTTAATCTTCTTAAGCATTTAATTACTGCCATTTGAAAGGCATTACATGGTAGATAATAGCAACTACTCTCTTGAAATGAGACTGGGGTGAGGGCATGGAAAGAAGGTGGGAAATTGCTTTTGTCTTTTTAAAGTGTTGCTTTTCTAATTCTTGCATCCTGCAAGGAAATACATTAGATGAATATACACCGTCAAAGGGAAAGTTCACCCAGCATAATTCTAGGGAAATGAGAATATGGCTAACTTCAAAGTTCTTGTCAAGGGGATATTTAGTAAACATGTCCGTTGATAAGATGCTTAAAGATGAAAAAAGAAAACTCATAAAAACAGAAGGCCAGAAGAAAACTTAAATGTATTCTTAAAAATGACGGTGTATATATTTGCATCTGGAGAACTGTTTAGAGCATGATTATAAAGAAGCACAAATAAACAATTAGTTATTTCTGATATTTCTATTAATATCAAGCTAAGGACTCTTACTTCACCAAATACCATTTCTCACACATTAGTCACCATTCCCTGGCTAACATAAAAGACGCGAGCGAGTCTTCTGTGTTCCTGGGGCACTTCAAGGGATAATGGTCTGAAAACAGATGGTTCCCTCTTTTCTCACCTGGACTTTGGTTGTGAATGGAGCAACAGATTCAAAGTCTAAACAGCTTCATCTCAGTCGAAATTCTTATGAAATCACTACTACATGAATGTTACACGCCAATTTGGAAGGAGTAAAAAAAAAAAAAAGGAATTTCCTTTTCTACTAGAATCTTTGATTCTCTGACATAACAGGTCTTATTTCACATTTAATCATAGGAGAAATAAGAAATGAGGCTGAGGCGTTTTTCAGCCCAGCCAGAACTGCAGAGTCCAGCCCAGCAGCCCCGGAGTGGCCCCGTGACCTGCCACGACACCTACCTCCTGCCTCTCCACGTCCATGTTCCAGACCACGATCCCACCATCACCACCACAGGAGATGAGCTGCCGCGTGTGCTGCGCATAGGAAAGGGCCTGGACTTTGTCACTGCAAAAGCAAGCCAGGGTCAGTGACAGGTCTGGAGAGCAAGGCGAAAGCCCTACAGGCAGGACGCCCAGCAAAGTCAATCGATGCGCATACTCCCCCTTGAGCCCCAAGTACAGATCTTAGAAATCAGATGGAATCAGAATGTTTACTTAAGATGCTGAGGCCTCAGGAAGAGAGGGTCTTTGTCAGTTACCGACACTTGAGGAGAAAAGCTGATTGTTGAACTACTTGTAACATGGGACTGGCTCCTTCCTCAATCGATTAATTAAATAAAACCTGTGGTACATGGTCATGCCGTATTTGTTCAAAAGTCATGATTTTACTTTTTTTTTTTTTTTAAAAAGGATCCCACTGCACTGACCTGCCAGAGCCAGGTAAATTGTGTCGGTTGAGGTGTGGAGTACATCATGGTGGCTTAAGCCCAGGCGCCATTTCTTGGCTTCCAGGGTGAAGCCAAAGAAGCAACAGACTTGAGTTTTGCTGACTCTCTATTTTCTCTGGTTTTCATTCCCTCTCTACTCATTTTGTGCTTTATTTTTCTTTCCAGTTCATACATGGCTGACGAAGTATTCCCTCTTGGGGGCAGCCACCATGGAGCGTCCAGTTCTACGGTCTGACAACGTGGGGATCACTAACAAAAGGTTACAGACATTATTTTCCGCTGGGTGAGGGAACAGGAAATAGGGCTTCTTGGTTGTTTCTGTTTGAATATTTTTCTATTTCGAGCTCAAGTCAATTAAGAATTCTATGCCCACTGGGGAGAACCGTCCCTTGCAATCTGGACTGGTGATTTGTGTGCTTTCGTGTTTCCTTCTGACCTGTGGCTGAAGTTGTGGGACCGAAGCTGTTAAAACTCTGTGTGTCTGTGACTACAGTTCAGTAAGGCCTTTCCCTCTCATGTCTGGAGCACTAGCCTATTGCCAGAGGGCATCAGTAAATTAGATTACAGTATTCTTTCTTTCTAATTAAAAAAAATTTTTTTTTTAGATTATAGTACTTTTTAGATTATAAGAACTTGTTCTGTTTGGCTTTTAAAGATAAACAAGTGCTTATATAAACTGAATTTTCATAAACTTAATGGAAAAAAGAAAATTGAGCCCCTAAGACTTGAAATTTACTAGACTTAAAAATCCTTTTACAAAAACTACTAACTCAGTAACATTTTAAGAATCTAGGTTCACAGAATTGAGGTGAACTCTTTGGCAAGTGAGACGAGTGTGATAAATTTTAAAACACAGCTATGTCTTTCTCTGATTCATCAGTGTTAAGTATGAGCAAGTGTACATCTTACTTTACTTGGGTTCATTTCTTCTAAATATATACAGGATAACCAGTCAAATAAGCTAATATTATGCCTATGTAATGCTATATATGAAAAATATAAATTTGTGTTCAACTCAACTAATTGTTTTGATAAACTTTTCATATAAATAGCAATTATATTTTATAGCACATCAACTTAAAGATAATCCCTAAGATCTTTAGGTAACTTAAAACGGATTACTATACATAGAGCTAATTGATAAATAATCACTGGATACCCACTTAGATAATTTCTAAATAGGTCAGAATACTGAAACTTTGATTACAAAGTATAATATTAAGTTTATATATGTTTGCTTCTCACTTTTTATTATAGAGAGGCTATAACTTAGGTGAGTCACATCCATGAACATGTTCATTTTTGCCACCTTAAGGAGACGTAAGAGTGGTGTATATTGCAGGAGAAATTTCTGTTGTGTGTGTTCATGAGCTTTGCTCATCTGCTAAAATGCTTGTATGTGACAGTTCTCAATTATCCACATCCTCCCTCCTCCCAATTTTCTCCATGAAATATAAGTTAGTTACTCTGGTTAATTATTATAATTAAAATGGGTGGTTGAGATTATGCCAGGGGGCAATGATGGAAACAAGATACAACTATGTATGGGCTTTTGTTTTTAACAGAGAAAATAGAGTAGCTGTGTCTTTTTTTTTTAGATTTTATTTATTTATTTGACAGAGAGAGACACAGCGAAGAGAGGGAACACAAGCAGGGGGAGTGGGAGAGGGAGAAGCGGGCTTCCCGCAGGGCAGGGAGCCCAATGCGGGGCTCGATCCCAGGACCCTGGGATCATGACCTGAGCCGAAGGCAGACGCTTAACGACTGAGCCACCCAGGTGCCCCGGGTAGTTGTGTCTTAAAAGCAATGGTTCTCGAACTTTTTCGTCTAGGATCCCTTTACACTCTTAAAACTATTTTGAGAAGACATCAAAGAGCTTTGGTTTAAATAAGAAATTACCAATATTTATTGTATTTGAGATCAAAACTGAGAATTAAAAAAAGTATCGATTCATTTGAAAATAGCAATAATGAATCCTTCTATTTTAATATAGATAACACAGATTTGGTGAAAATTAACTACATTTCCCAAGGTGACAAATTTTGATGACAAAAATGGCATTAACATCTGCAAGTCTTTCTAATGTCTGGCTTAATAGAAGAGAGCCCGATAGATACTCATCTCTTTCTGTATTTGTTCCGATAACCACTCATCATGCATCTTCTGGAAAACTCCATTGTACATTTGTGAGAGACTATGGATGAGAAAGGCACTTCTTCTAAAGTAAAGTATAAATTTGTTCCAGAATATGAGAGAGAAAAATGAAGGACAAAACTTGGAAAGTGAATTTTATTTGCTTTGGTTTATAATACTCAAGTCTGAAAAAAGAGCTATAAAATGCATTAAAATCTTGGCACAGTTCCCTCAGTTTTGATGACTTCCTTCCTTGCCTTACTGATTAATGCCTTTGACTACAATGCAAAAGGATATTCTTTACCTTCTATAAAATCTGCCTCGCTAGCAAAGATTCTGTGTGTCACCACATTATTTTCAGAGCTTTATGTTGACTTGGTTAAAGTCCCAAAAACATCTTTGACAACTCATGATTTTGCCTTCCTAGGCCGTACCCTATATTTTGAAAAAATAAAATAAAAACTTTAGGATACTTCCTACACCTACAACTATCTTTGAGATTCCCTAGAGGGATCCTTGAGAATTGTAAAGATGTACTCCTCTGCCTTATAAAAAGAGAGATGCTATAAATAACTATATGTGTTTGCTGTGTTGCTATTTTAAGAGTTTCACTGGAAGAGTCATCAGATCAGAAGAGGTGCTCGGCCTTCCCTAGGTCAAGTCAGTTTAGATAAAATTTTATTAATGTAAGTATTTCTGAAGTTGCATATTTTATGGGAGGACCCTGGAGGTTTATTGGAGCACTCATTGTCTCTAATATGCTTTCCCCTCCAGGGAAATACTGATCAAAACTCTCAGGAGATAGTTATGTAGGCTATCTCAATAGAGAATTTTATTCTCCTGCATTATGATTACTATTTGTCACAGTAAAAAAAACTAACCATTGAAGTCTTCATAATCTATAGATAATTTCTGTTTTACTCTGATGCTTGCCTGAGGGCTTTGCTATAAGCTACAGGCCAGAAAGGACAATCTTAAGAGTTTCACGGAAAAGGACTATATGTACCAGGTATTTTTAAATATTGATATTTCAAAAGAAGAGACTCTTGGGCAAAGGCTACAAAGCTGACATTGCTTAGGTAATTTTTAAGCTGTGCTAGTGGACTGAGTCAGGATTTCCGTGGATTTCTGGACTCTTTTTAGTCTGGATGCAGACAGCTTCATGAATGCAGACTGCTAAACCAAGAACTAGCAGAACAAGAACTAGTTGCACAAGACCGGATGAACTGAAGAGGGACATTTTACTGTGGTTATTTGTCTGGAATACTGCTGATGTTGTTTTAATGTTCTATTTTCTGGATATGGGAGGGTGCTTTTTCTCCTACTTTTTATCCTATTTCTAACCTACAATCTTGTAAACTCTGCTTTTACAAGCTAAAGAGAAACATTTAAAAATGACGTCTAGTTTTCAATGATTCCCCCAGAATTCAAAAAGTATTACTGAATCCCCTTAATTTTAATGGCAAATAGTTATTTCATAGGTTCAGTTAGCATCTATCCACAGGATATAGTTGGGCAACCAACCGAGTCCTTACCTAGAATGTCATATTAGAGAATAATGCTCATTCAGATATGACTAGCCGCTTAAACTTACGCAGTGGCTACAAAGCCCTCCTAAGAAAACTGGCCCTAGTACCTGGTTTGCAGGGTCCTGGTCTTACAGGTGGTAAGGAAACTACCAGGCCAGAAACCTGGCAAATGCTGGAAACTTCAAGGAATTCAACCAACGTGTAAGTACTACAGGTGACATATGGCGGAGAATATTGGGCTTGGTTTCCTAGTCTTGGTATAGCAAATAACAGAGGCTTTGAAAAGCCCAATCCAGGACTCCTTATGCACAGTTCCAGGCAGACGTTAATTCTGTGGGCTCGACGGTTGTTTAATAATACTCTACAGCTCTCTACTTGCAAAGCAAACCGGGAAGACCCATATGGTTAATTAACACTCTCACAGCATGATGTTAATAATTAGGCCAGCCCTTAGGAGGCCAACCTTCTTCTGTGATCAAGAATAATCTCTGAGATTATCATGATTACAGGAGCGGACAGGGGAAGAACTGTGAAAGAATGACATGGGCAAAAAGAAAGTACTGGCATCTTCAGTGGAGGATGTGTTATCAGGCACACCTTTCTGGGTTATCTGATTCTATAGGGGCCTGCATCTTGCAGCACCTTTAACTGCGCTACTTTATAACTCTGTAAACGTTAACCTGGTATTATGGCAAATGAATCTTTCCAGTGAAGATGCAACGAGTCTCCATGCCCCGCCCCTCCCATGGAGGAAGCCATTTGTGAACCTACCTACAAATTCATTTCCGTTCTCCCCTGCCGATGCATACGTCTGCTCTTTGGATTTTCCTTTGAACTGGCTGTAACATCTTAAAAGTTCCTTTATTAATTAATGACTGATATAAAATCTTTGACAGGTACTCGTTAAAAAGAGAGTCTGTTGTTTTCCAACTCTCTTGGTTGTTATTTCACCCGTC